CATGTAGTAAAACCACTGATGTTTCAGTTAGCATGTGGTGCTTTACCACTGCGCTACCTTAGCACCTCAGTAGGTGAATACATATGCAAATAATTGATACAGTGTGATCAGCACTATTGTTGATTACAAGGTACAAGGGAAAATATAAAAAGGTATTACTTTATGTCTCAAAAAGTGTGAAAATTTTCTCCATATTACAGCATAAAGTACATGATATTAGTTTTGAAAGATTTCCAACAAGTGAATTTAACCAAGTCTAATCAAGCTTGTGGAGAGTAATTGAATAAGGAAGACTGAAGAAGGTTTGATGCACTTGAATTCTGGTGCTGAGGAATTATATTGAGAGTCCTGTGGCCTGCCTAAAGAACAAACAAATCTGTCTTGGAAGAAGTACAACCAGAATGTTGCTTAGTGTCAAGGATGGCAAGACCTCATCTTACGTACTTTGGACATATTGTCAGGAGAGACCAGTCCGAAGAGAAGGAGATCATGCTGGGTAAAGTGAGGAGCAACAAAAAGGAGGAAAACTTTGGACACAGTGGATTGACACAGTGGCTGCATCTATGGGCTCAAGCATAAGGAAAATTGTGAGGCTAGCAGAGGACCAGGTGATGTTTCATTCTGATGTACAATGTGAGTCAGAATGGACCTAACAACAACAACAACCGATCGAGGTTTCAGATCTAAGCTTAAACCCTGGGTTACGGGAAGTACAGGAGCTAGAAAAATTTAATGGACACCACAGAGGAGCATTCAGACGACGGCAAATGGGGGTCATTCTAAAGAGCAAATAGTTTAATCAGCAAGGCATTGCCTTTTAAAATAAAGAAAGAAAGCAGTAGTCTTTTAAAGAGAGGCATTTTTTTAAGTTTAGTCTAATGCACTACATCATCTGGTATACTATATCCTACATCATCTGGTATACTATATCCTACATCATCTGGTATACTATATCCTGGCTCATACAGAGCATCTATAAATATAATGGGTATAATTGGAAAAAAATGAAGATAGGCTGGGTATTAAGAAACATTAAAGAAGCGTGTTGGTTTTTTTTGAAATGTTAATGGCACGGTGGTTATGTTGGAAATAACCTACATGTACACTTAATGATATTTACTTCACATAAAAAGACATCAGAAAAACATGGATCCAGCGAGTGTGGCAAAATGTAACTGGTAAAACTAGGTAAACAAACCCACTCTATTGAGTTGATTCTGACTCATAGAGTCCCTACAGAGGATGTCTTTTTTTTTTTACATCAAAATAACATTTAATAAATGCTTCATAGGTTAACTTAAAATATCATAAATAAGTGAGACAATTTATGTAATGGTGAATCAAAAGTATTGCTAGCAAAATCATAGAAACCTTTATAAACAAAAATATCAAAAGGTAAAGACCCTTGTTTTTCAACAAATCCTTGATCTAGGTTTATACACTTGTCTGTGCTCTTTTAATTACAGTTTGTGGAAAAACAGTTGTCATCTTTAATAAGTGTCTATATTATCTATTGGGTTAGGTGGGAAAAGCTGCCACTTTCTAAGAAGATTCTTGATAGAACATACTAGCTTCCAAACGCAAAAAGGCATCGTCGCAGCAGCTTCTCAGTTTTTCTGTTTTTGTTTGGTTGGTTGGTTGGTGGTTGGTTTTTAAAATCATTTTATTGGGGACTTGTACAATTCTCATCACAATCCATACATACATCCATTGTGTCAAGCACATATGCACATTTGTTGCTCTCATCATTTTCAAAACATTTGCCTCCCTCTCTAGCTCCTAATATCAGTTGCCCCTTTTACCCCTCCGTTCCCACTGCCCCCTCCCTCATGAACCCTTCATAGTTCATAAATTATTATAGTTTTGTCATAAGTTACCCTGTCCGATGATTCCCTCCACGCTCTTCTCTGCTGTCCATCCCCCAGGGAGGAGGCAATACTTAGATTCTTGTAATTGTTTCCCTCTTTCTGCCC